TTCAACATTTGATTTAACATTTCAATTGGTTAGCCTTTGGCTCTTCATCTTTGTTCTAGTTAATTGGTAATTCTAATGTGATGATTGCGTTTAGCGCTAATTTACAGGATATTGTTTTGGTTTGAATTTAAAAATTTGATAACCTACCTACTTGAGCACCTAACTACTTAAACTAGGTTGCCAAATCACGAATGATCTGGTGGTTTGATCACAGACAGGCGACTCTGAACCTTTCCAGCGTGGAAGTCTTTCGCTCCTCGAGTGTTTGAAGACCGGCCAGGTGGTGAATCTCAGAATTACGAGTTCGCGGTGGACTGTTAAGGATCATTCTGAGGATCTTGTTTTGGATCCTCTGAAGCTTTAAGTGGTGGCACTTAGCACAACTCTCCCAGATTGGCATACCATACTCAATAACCGGCAGAATGATTTGCTTGTGGACAGCAAGCTTGTTTTTGAGGGACAGGGTGACTGTTTATCAGAGGGTAGAGCGACCTGATCAAGATATTACACTTGGTGGATGTCTTGTCCACATGGGATCGGAATAGCAATTTGCTATCGAGGGTGAGACCAAGGTAGACTACTTCACTCGACCATTCAATGGGAGTGCTATCAAGATGGATCTTGACGTTAGCGGGCAGAACAAGCCGAGGTGAATTAGAGTGTGGAAACAGAATGGTTTGTGTTTTAGCTGCATTGATACAAATCTTCCAGCTCTTAAAATAGTCGGACAAAACATCCAGGCCTGATTGTAGTTTACTCGCCAGAGCACGGATAACTCGACCCTTATAGATGATGGAGGTGTCATCTGCGAACATAGACAGGATACCACCACCCGGCAGGGGAGGAACGTCTGACGTGAATATGTTGAATAGTATAGGCCCAAGCAGGCTACCCTGAGGGACCCCTGCATCAACGTTGAACGTATCAGAGGGGACATTCCCAACTAACATTTTCAGCTTTGTAAGCCAACTTTTCCAGCGTTGTGCTGTAAAGTAGCTGAAAAGAAGCTGCAGATACAGCTACAAGCAAAAGCTAGCAAAATAGTTTTGGAGAGCGTTTACTCAACTTTCTCACAACCATTATTCAATTTGTCAGTCGCACTGAATAACATCAGCCAATCAACGCTAATGTCACTTCTATACACACACTAATCAACTTTCCACTTGTAGCTGCAAAACAAAGCTAACAAAGTGAATATATTACTCATTTGACGGCTTCTACACAACCAACAACTCTTGCTGAATAACATAAACATCAAAAGTGCTTTTTCAACAACTAAACAACCTGTACTCAGCTTATAAACTGTGTTAGAGCAACTTCGGAAGCATTTTCACAGTCAACTAGATTTATTTTTAGACGTGTGCAGTTTTACAGCTTTTACTCTGCTCTTTTATAACTAGTCGAGAAAAGTGATTCATGTGCACTATTATAAAGCCTCTACTAAGCGATTTTGTTGTAGAAGGGAATGTTGATTTGTTTACATCAGTTCAAAGTGTTGGCGTAGCACAGTTGGTAGTCAAGGTTTGCCAATGAGGTCGTCTCGAGTTCGATTCCAGGTTCCGGTGCAGGGTAAATAATTTGGTGATGATTTGTAACTAATTTCGATTAATTTGATTCACAGCAAAATAAACTCAATAAATTCCTTCATAAAAAAGCGTAAACAGTATTTAACCCGGCTTCAAGAGAAAGCTGTGTAGTGATTATTGGACAACCGGGAAAAGATTGAATAAGCGCCTTTCAAGTTCACACACAACTATAACAGCTGTATAGAAGCGTTAATGGATATTCAATAAGAGCTTCTCCCGACCGTTCCAACAGCCATAAGTAGCTGACTAAGTTCGCCAGATTTGCTTGTATAGAGGTTGAGTAAAGGTTTCCTCATATCGTATAATGTTTGAATACAGCTTGAGACTGTATAAATGAAATGAGTAAAGCGTTTACATTGTGAAAATTGTTAGTTGGGTTGTTCAAGTAGACCTGGAATGATCTGCCTGAAAAGTAGTTTTTGATGATCTTCACGAGGTAGATCGGAAAGTTGTATCGATGCAGCTTGTACACTAGACCATCATGCCAGACATTGTCGAACGTCTTCTCGACGTCCACACGGAGAACAAATTCGTTAAGTTAAGATATCAATCCTAATAGCTATTTTCACATGGAAAAGTATTGTTGTTTGAAAAAAAAACTATAGTTATTCCAACATTAATTTGACCGTCAACTCAATCATATCTACCTAATAAATTCAACTGTTCATCTTATACTCAATTCAACTATAACTTTGATCAATTATAACAACCGTCAAATATAATTTATTTATATGATTTGGTTTCAAGTGATCATCATATCATCACTTTTAACTTGTGATGCGTAGAGCAGGCGATAAGATAGCCGACTCTCACGAAGATGAACACGGTTCAAATCTAAGTTGAATGTTCTTGTTCACTTTTTTTTTATGATTTTGCAGTTGTGATTTTGAGATCGATAAAGAAGCAAAACATACTTCCTTAATATGTCGATAATGAAGAGCAGTTCGTTTAATAAACATTATAAAATTTTGTTTTCCTTACAATAGTTTTCTTGAATCAACTAAAGCATTGTTGTATTTTGAAGTGTGGCGTTTGTCCATCTACTGAAAAATATAGTTGAGCTAACCGAGAAGACAACTATGGACTATAGTTGTTGCCCTCTATATATAGTCAAATCAACTATAGTTTCGGGTTATCTCTAAAACAATTGAACAATATAGTTATTTTGACCGGAAAAATAATTACGTCTGCTATAATTTGTTCTCCGTGCAACAATGCCATGGCAGATGTATTGTAAACGGACTTGTTCCGCTTGGTGATGTGCGAGTTGGTGGATGGTAGAGTGGTCTTTCCTAAACTCGAATTGCTCTTTGAGAAAGATGTTATTATCATTTGAAAACACCAGCAGACGGCTGAGTATCAATTTTTCGAATAGCTTCGAGATGGAGGACAAGAGGCTGATGGGGCGATAGCTTTTGGCACTGGTAGGATCTTTGCCAGGCTTGTGTATTGGAATCACTTTGGCTAACTTCCAGCATGCAGGGAAGTAGCCAAGCTCCAAACATTTGTTGAAGATTAGGGTAAGATGGTTGAAGAAGTCAATACTCAAGTTTTTCAATTCGAGGTTGACTACACCATCCATACCCGTAGCCTTTAATTTTTTTAGTACTTCTAATAGCTGCTATCACCTCATCAGCCGATATTCTACTATGATCATGCACTACTACGGGGGTGTCAGCGACTCTAGTCATTGCCTCCAGTACGGCAGGCCCATGGGGGCTCACCATGGTTTGACCAAGATTATGTGAAATCACAAAATGTTGCCCAAGAGCATTGGCCTTTTCAACTGGGGTTATCAGTAGGGATGGGTCTAAGTCATGGTCAACAGAGGAAAGCGGAGGGATCTGCCTCGACTTATTTTTCAAAATTTTGGTCATCTTCCATGGTTTTGCACAATCTGGGAGAGAGCGAATCTTTTTGGTAAAGTCGTTATTTCTGAGTTCCACCATCCTGTCCTGGATAATTTTGGTTAGTCTATTGACATTGGTCTTCAAGTGGGGCAGCCCAGAACGCTGGAACTGCCTACGAATGGTGTTATGGAGCCTGATAAGATCTTTGGTTGGGCTGTAAAGGTTCAGAGTATGACTCACCTGTCTGAATGTTGGTACGTGTTGCTCCCTGGCACGGGATATCATGAATGCCGACTCGAAGGCAACCGCCTTATATACGATTGCTGAAAGGGAAAAACCTCGACTATTTACTCTTCCAGACGATTTGTATTGTCGTCCCTCCGAACTTACAATCAGGGAAACAAGGAATTTCTTATTCAGATCGATGAGTTATTATTACAACTCCGAATAAATCAATTCATATAAGTCAAACTATAATATTTATTCCGAATCACTGATTTACGAATTAGTATTCCACATCACACCTCTACACTAGACTGATGCAAAATTTGAAATTTTCGCTCCACAGTGCTCAAATGGTTTCAAATTTGGCCCTGATTAGTCTCCCAAAATTTGAACTCATTTAGTGAGAAACTGACAAACATGGAGAAACCATAATTTTGGTTCATATCTATCTCAAAATTCACCAGTTCACTCTACTTTAGAAAATGATAGCTGAGCTTGTTGAAAATTTTCTCAGCTACAATTTTGTTCAAGACCACTTTTCGATCAAATGTAAGGAACAAAAATTATTAACGATTCAATTCACTGATGTCTTATGATTATGCTCAATCAACTGTTCAGCAGGCAACATTGGTGTTTATGGCGCATAGAATAGAAGACAAAAATCTCCCTAAATGAGTTCAAGTTTTAGGAGGCTAATCAGGGCCCAATTTGGAACCGTTTGAGCACTGTGGAGCGAAAATTTCAAATTTTGCATCAGTCTAATGGGCACGTGCCACCCGGGAAGAAGGACCAAGCAATTGGTGTAATTTGCTATCGATTTCTGAGACTGCTGCTGGTGAGAACCTAGGATTTACTATCAGTTCCGTTACGTTTGTCTTGGTTTTCTTGCAAGACATCTTTACCTTTTTTAGCGTCGTGGATCTCAACCGGGTTCGAATTTCCCTTTTCTTCGGAATGCAGATTTTCAATCCAGATCCAAAAAGTTTTTCTTTCCCGGCAGGGCGATACGACGATTTTTTCGTGATTTTCTTTCAAACCAACCAAATATTAATCGAAAGTAAACATTTTTTTGCAGTGGTGCCAGAATTGATTAAAAAATTGCGTTTAACATACAGACATTTTCCGATGTCGTCGAGCTGAGTAGAGTGGTAACACACGGCCATCTGCACCGTTTAGCACGTTTAGTTGCAATTCGCTTCAACTGGATATGTGGAGTGAAACGAGTACGACCGGTACGATTGGATCAAAGTTGTTTCTCTTCTTCGTACTTAACAGAAAATAAAAACAAATAATGTAATTGGAATATTTATTAACCGATTCGAGGCTCTATTTACAAAACTGTTTTTTACAATATTGCAGTACGATTAAGTGTACATAGTTTTCAACAAATAACGTCAGCTGTAGATAACATTATACGTATCTAGGATTTCTTATATGTAGCGTATTATGCACTAGAGAATAACCAGGCTACTAGTTAAGCCTAAGGAAGTTCAACTTAAGGTCATTGTGTTTATTAGCATGTTTTCAGATGACCTTTAAGTAGACTCTTTAGTATCCCACCCCCCTAATTTGTTGACTTATCAAGATTTATTTTAATCATTTATTTTGTGCCATTTGCCGGCTATCATTTTTGTTTGCATTTTCCACTACTCACTATCAGTTTATACTTTTTGAAATCGTCACGTGGAGGCGCATGGTGTTTCAGTAATTTACAGTTTGTTTTTAATTTCGTATGTTTTTTTTTTAGTTTCTCAAAAATAACGCACTATTTTGCTTTCATTAAACTTTCAGATTAAGATTAGATGAACAGTTCGATAGGCCTACTCGTGCTAAAACATGTCTTCTTTTTGTTAGGTATATTTGCATGCCACGGTTTTATATGTATTCATAGAACATGATCCAGTAGGCGGTGTTCAGAACCGTAAAGAGCAGCGGGAAGAAAACTCGCGAAAAACGATCGATATTGATCGCTCGTCTTAGCCGTATCTGAGCTGGCGTGAGTTTCGGTATGGCCGAAGCCGGTTTGCACGGCGGTGGCGGGATGGTTTGGATGTGGGGCACGGGTGACAACAGTAGGGTGCTTTCCTGAAATTTTCAAAAGAATTCACATTTAGAATGGGATTGGTTTGGAGGTACCTTACTTCGGTAAGACTACCTGTCTCTGGAAAGTGTTCACCGTCGTGGTTTCACTGTTTTCCAGCGATTTGCTGCCACGTTTTCCATTTTTTCCCCCGGTGGTGTAATCGATGAAACGATCCATCTTTGGAGGGTGTGGCTTGGGCTCTGGATACGGAGGTTCCGAATCTCCGAGAACGATGTTTACCAGGCAGTACTCCATCAGGGCCATGAACACAAACACCGTGCAGACGGACATGAACGCGTCGACCGCTTTCAGGTAGGAAACCGGCGGAAGGGAAGCTTGAGATTTGGCATGCTGCGTCGAAAGGGTTAGCAGAGATGTCACTCCGAGCGTTACGCGGGCCGGTGCCGCTTCCGGTTTGATCCAGAATGAGACCCACTGGGGTGGTTAAAATGAGATAAGGAACAGGGAAAGAGTAATTAGTTGCCAGAGATTTGGTGGAATATTATTGTTATGAGTGCGCGTTGTTGGGTTTTGAACTTATAATAAGAAAAAGAATAATTATTTCAAATATCATATTTGCCAACCCAAAACTGATCTTAAGAAAACCGAATCTGGAGATCTTACCGACATAATGACGATCAAGCAGGTTGGAATGTATGTGTGAAACAGGTAGTAGCCGAGACGTCGTTTCAGGACAAACACCACTTCAAGGCAGGTGAAGTTACCGGTCGAGTAGACTTGGGTACAGTCCGCCGTGTTGTTCTTCACCAAGGCCAGCTGAGGCAGTTCGATGTGTTCGTCTACTACCAGCGGAACTTCCGGATCCCATTGGAAGATCATATCGTCCGTAGTGTGCGATACTGTAGGAGAAATTGACCAATGTTTGCGATTAAAAGCGTTTGCCAAGAGCTAGATGTCACTTACGACTCTCCATCTGCAGCTTACACTCCTGCGTATCATGTGGATAGATGAGAAAGTTCATCGCACATGACAGCCTCAGCGTCAGCTTGACCATGTACAGGATTGTTTTGTCTTTGTACAGCCACATGTAGTGGTTGGGGATGGTCATCGTTTGGAACGTTACCGATTTGGCGTTCTTGAAGAACGAATCCGGCCGCCACATGTTCTTGAGCCACTCGACCTCCAGCAGCCGGTACTCGGAGGTCATGTTCTCTGGCAACCGCAGTCGGTGATCCTTCCAGGTTTGCGCGAAGAAGATGTCGGCCGCGTACGTCATCGAGGTTTCGTCGATTGAGTCAAGACCCATGACCGTCACGTGGAATAGCACCGTCGTTGGTTGGCCGTCCTTCTTGGGCGGACGCATTTTGTCATACAGCTTTGGGTCTTCCGGAAGGATGTCATTGAAGGTGAGGCTGGTTCTAAGGGGCGAAAAATTGTTAACTTATAAGATAGCTCTTGAAACATGAACGGAATTTACTTACTGGTAATGCTCTCCGGCGATGCCTGTGATACATGCTGTCACTAGTGTTAACAATAGCGATATATCATAATCTAAGAGCATGACCTGATTGGAGATAAAGGAGGGAACCAAATATAAAAGGGTTAGCGAACTCAATTAGCTAGATATAAGCGATTAAGCCCCAAGAAGATCGAGATACATGGCGTAGCACTCCCCAATCCCGCTCGGGCTCAGATCAAAAGGTCAAATGATAAAAAACAGGCTGTGATTATAACTTGATATACCCCCACCAGGCACAGGCAGACAAGGGACACCATCCACTCCAGCAGTCGAACGTGAGCAAAAAATGGAGATGGAAAAAGACGAACGATTAACGTCATAATTCAAAAGGCTCTCCAGAGCTATTAGTGGAACTCATCAAACTTACACCACAGTGTCGACGGTCGTTCTGTGGCCTATTCGTGGTCGGATTTTTCGAAGTGGGAGAGGAAGAATATTCGAGTGGTGCACCCTTCGCATGGGTTTTCCTCAAGGCGTAATGAATTATGCAAGGATATTTGAATGTAGAACAATGTGACGTAGAATTATGGATGGAGAGGGTAAGCCGAGCGAACAAAACAGGTGGATTGTTCTGACGGGTTAGGGATGGGCCTATGGAGAAATTAATCAAATATATTATAGAAACAAAATGTTCCACTGTTTCGTTTTCTAGGGATATCGTTTACGGACAACAAGAACCTTTAATAAAAAAAACCATACGATAACGCAAACGATAGAACTATTCCACAAACGGTTTGAATGATACGGTGTACATGTCTTTAAGCAAAATAACCATACAAATTTTATCATGGACGCTGTGAGGAATGATAACTTGTTTATTCCATGAAACCAAAAAATGTCATGGTACCTAGTGTAAATGTCTGCTTCGGCATCCATTGGCTGTTTTCGGCAACCAAAATGTAAACGTTAATTTCACAGTACTTTGCCATAAAAAAAAACATCGCAGTATACATTCAAACGATTCCTTAGTCTTTCATCTTCGATCTGATTACATTTGACGACTTTACAATCCTGTTATGCCAGATTTTTTTTTTAATAAAATATACGCACTGATTTTGAGTTTCCCATAATAGAACAACTGGTTACCACGCAGTTCAAATGGAAAGGTTTCCGAAGGAAAAGAGTCTGCCGATATTAATCACACTTACCTGAGAAGTTTGAAGCGTTGTAAAAACGCTTCCAAAGAATTTTGAACAATTCTGTCGAATTAATATCCACATATCGAATATCCGCATCAACGAAAAAAAAATGTCAGATTTTTTTCTATTCCCGACACCCCTCCATTATGTTCAACGTACAGAACGAGAGTAAAATAGATTGTCGATAGTACATCAATAAATATTTATAATTACACATACAAGTTTGTGATATGTTGAGTCAAATAAATACATACAGGGGGAGAGGTAGCTCATCGATTCTTCCGGTTCGCCTCCTAGCATCGTGCTATAAGGTACCAGGCGATAACCAGGATAGTTGATCGATAGCTCGATGACGTCATTTCGTTGGCGTCTGCAATGGGAAATTCTCATAGCAGGCGTTGACGATGGGACGTTGTCGAGTTGTTGAATAGCAACTATCGTTGTAACTCACCGATTACCTGTCGATCTGCCAAATTTGGAAAGACGTCTGCATTGCATTGTCTCATATAATAATATTCCGCCCACTATATCACAAGATATTGCGAGTAGCTGAGTGGAATGGAGATAAGTTAAGCATTGGGTACAGGACCAAGTCTCCCCTGGGTGGTGCCAGAAGATGAGCGCAATAGAATCATCAAGTTGCCATAAGGCACGGAATGAGACTATTGCATGGCTGGGTAGTCAAAGTCTTCCATTCGTTAGTCATTTCAGGAAAGTGAAAGTGGAACTTAATGAAGGCCTAAGTACTTTTTCGTAGTTTTTAGTTTTCGGATTTGAAAGATCGTCAGTTACAGTGGCCTGCTTACTGAGCAGAAAAACGCGGTCCCAGGTCCTTACATATCAAAGAGATTTATGGTAAAATCGCTTGTGTATCGTGTATTTTGCGAAACTCGTTGTTGTCGTTGGTTCCGGGTTTGAATGGATACAAAAATTTGAGCAACGGTATTATGTGATATGAGGGGCTCGGTGGCCTTAGAGCAACCGTTTTTGCTTATTGAGCAGAACATCATGAGTCTAATCTCAGGCCCTTCCACATTCAAGATTCGGCAATCGTTTTATTTGTTAATATGACTACATGGTAATAACAGCAACTCGGTGATTAAAAAGGTGCTCGTCAGCCTAGTGGCAAACGTTTTTGCTTACTGAGCAGAAGACCGTGGGTTTAGTCCCAAGCTCCTTCGCGTTATATGATCGTTAGGACATCAATTCAGCTTATCGTTTACCAAAACGAACCCTGCTGCAAACACAACCCTCTTATCCAATATCCCAGTGATTCCTCGTGGAAGTGCAGAGGTGTTCTCGGCTTCTATCAAAGCGAGTGTCAGGTCAACACAATCCTTCCCATTCCTTTCTTGACCTGTGTTCGGGCGCGGCCGGCGCTGGTATTGCCTAATTTAAGATCACCAGTTTTTACACATTGAGGATGATTGCTAGTCCCAAGCATCGTCTATTGGTTCTCTGTGTAATTACAGCTGATCTGGCAATAACAGAGTAGCAACCGTGGGCGGTCAATCAAGCTCAAGCTCAAGCTCAAAATTTCATAGCAAATCGAAACAAACATAGTGTAGTGCTGGAATTTATACTAGAATGAGGAACGTTAATCGATTTGCTTGGAACCAATACGCTAGTCAAGTAGTGAGCCAATTTAAAATCGTTAGTTTCGTATTGATTGTTGGTAGTAGCAACCAGTGGAAACTAACGATTTTAAATTGGCTCACTACCTGACTAGCCTATTGGTCCCAAGCAAATCGATTAACGGATCCCATTCTAGTCAAAATTCTAGTACTACACAAAGTTTGTTTTGATTCACTATGAAAGTTTGACAGATGAAATTAGGAGTTCGTGGATTTCAATCTCAATTCTACATGCTCAACAAATCTCACACTAGCGAATAAATCTTCGAAAAATCTTCTTTCATTTCTCGCATCTACTTGCATCGCGAATCATATTTGTGCAGGAAATCTCCAGAATTGTCATCAATATTCTTTCTATCTACTCAGCGTGCGTGCAGCTAACCACAGCAAAATACATTAATACCATAGAGATAACTCTAAGACTAGAAGCTCCAGAAATAACGTGCTCAACTTTTTGGCTCAGCTCTGGTACTCTCTTCGGTCCCAAGCTAATCGATTCACCCCTCGAAACATAGGAAAAACCAATAACCCCTCATTTTATCTGTCAAACTTTCATAGCGAATCAAAACAAACATTGCGTAGTACTAGAATTTCGACTAGAATGGGATACGTTAATCGTTTGCTTGGGACCAATAGGCTAGTCAAGTAGTGAGCCAATTTAAAATCGTTAGTTTCGTATTGATTGTTGTTAATACTATGTCTTGAGGGGTGCATCGATTAGCTTGGGACCGAAGATAGTACCAGAGCTGAGCCAAAAAATTGTGCACATTTCTTCGGGACCTTCTGGTCTTATAGTTACCTCTATGGTAGTAGCAACAATCAATACGAAACTAACGATTTTAAATTGACTCACTACTTGACTAGCCTATTGGTCCCAAGCAAATCGATTAACGTATCCCATTCTAGTCAAAATTCTAGTACTATACAATGTTTGTTTTGATTCGCTATGAAAGTTTGACAGATAAAATAAGGGGTTATTGGATTTTCCTATGTTTTGAGGGGTGAATCGATTAGCTTGGGACCGAAGATAGTACCAGAGCTGAGCCAAAAAGTTGAGCTCCTTTCTTCGGGACCTACTAGTCTTAGAGTTACCTCTATGGTAGTAGCAACAATCAATACGAAACTAACGATTTTAAATTGGCTCACCACTTTAGTAGCCTATTGGTCCCAAGCAAACGATTAACGTACCCTATTCTAGTTGAAATTCTATTACTACACTATGTTTGTTTTGATTCGCTATGAAAGTTTGACAGATAACATCAGGGGTGTGTGGATTCATGCAGAACATGCAGGGGTGAGTGAAATAGCTTGGGACTGCTTGGGACCGTTGTTCTGGTACTGAGTGATCCAAAAATAATAATGATTTTCTTCGGGACCCAGTGGTCTTAGAGTTACCTCTATGGTAGTAGCATAGAGGTAACTCTAAGACCACTGGGTCCCGAAGAAAATCATTATTATTTTTGGCTCACTCAGTACCAGAACAACGGTCCCAAGCAGTCCCAAGCTATTTCACTCACCCCTGCATGTTCTGCATGAATCCACACACCCCTGATGTTATCTGTCAAACTTTCATAGCGAATCAAAACAAACATAGTGTAGTAATAGAATTTCAACTAGAATAGGGTACGTTAATCGTTTGCTTGGGACCAATAGGCTACTAAAGTGGTGAGCCAATTTAAAATCGTTAGTTTCGTATTGATTGTTGGTAGTAGTGTTGCCATGTGGAACACTGAAAAATTGCAATAACAGGTTCGTCATCAAAGTTTTCGAGCCGCTCCGTCTGTCAGCGATTTCAAATTGGCGCCTATTGGTCCCTAGCAAATCGATTAACGTACCCCATTCCAGTCTAAATTCTAGTACTACACTACGTTTGTTTTGATTATCTGTGAAAGTTTGACAGATAAAATGAGAGGTTCGTGGATTTTTCTTTGTTTCAAGGGGTGCATCGATTAGCTTGGGACCGAAGAGAGTACCAGAGCTGAGCCAAAAAATTGAGCACGTTTCTTCGGGACCTTCTGGTCTTAGAGCTACCTCTATGGTATAACGGTACTACAACCAACCGGCGCATTTATTTTAATGGAGCTTTTGAAAAACCTGAACACCTCTCATTTTGTTATCAAAATGCCATCCAAGCAACAGGAGCAACGAATCAAAATTTTACACGCGCAGCCGAGGGGGGCGACTCTATCTACAATGCAGGAAAAAATGTGTTTTGCTGTGGTTAGCTGCACGCACGCTGAGTAGATAGAGAGAAGATTGATGACGATTCTGA